CCCCCCCCCCCCCCCCCCCCCCCCCCCCCCCCCCCCCCCCCCCCCCCCCCCCCCCCCCCCCCCCCCCCCCCCCCCCCCCCCCCCCCCCCCCCCCCCCCCCCCCCCCCCCCCCCCCCCCCCCCCCCCCCCCCCCCCCCCCCCCCCCCCCCCCCCCCCCCCCCCCCCCCCCCCCCCCCCCCCCCCCCCCCCCCCCCCCCCCCCCCCCCCCCCCCCCCCCCCCCCCCCCCCCCCCCCCCCCCCCCCCCCCCCCCCCCCCCCCCCCCCCCCCCCCCCCCCCCCCCCCCCCCCCCCCCCCCCCCCCCCCCCCCCCCCCCCCCCCCCCCCCCCCCCCCCCCCCCCCCCCCCCCCCCCCCCCCCCCCCCCCCCCCCCCCCCCCCCCCCCCCCCCCCCCCCCCCCCCCCCCCCCCCCCCCCCCCCCCCCCCCCCCCCCCCCCCCCCCCCCCCCCCCCCCCCCCCCCCCCCCCCCCCCCCCCCCCCCCCCCCCCCCCCCCCCCCCCCCCCCCCCCCCCCCCCCCCCCCCCCCCCCCCCCCCCCCCCCCCCCCCCCCCCCCCCCCCCCCCCCCCCCCCCCCCCCCCACCCCCCCCCCCCCCCCCCCCCCCCCCCCCCCCCCCCCCCCCCCCCCCCCCCCCCCCCCCCCCCCCCCCCCCCCCCCCCCCCCCCCCCCCCCCCCCCCCCCCCCCCCCCCCCCCCCCCCCCCCCCCCCCCCCCCCCCCCCCCCCCCCCCCCCCCCCCCCCCCCCCCCCCCCCCCCCCCCCCCCCCCCCCCCCCCCCCCCCCCCCCCCCCCCCCCCCCCCCCCCCCCCCCCCCCCCCCCCCCCCCCCCCCCCCCCCCCCCCCCCCCCCCCCCCCCCCCCCCCCCCCCCCCCCCCCCCCCCCCCCCCCCCCCCCCCCCCCCCCCCCCCCCCCCCCCCCCCCCCCCCCCCCCCCCCCCCCCCCCCCCCCCCCCCCCCCCCCCCCCCCCCCCCCCCCCCCCCCCCCCCCCCCCCCCCCCCCCCCCCCCCCCCCCCCCCCCCCCCCCCCCCCCCCCCCCCCCCCCCCCCCCCCCCCCCCCCCCCCCCCCCCCCCCCCCCCCCCCCCCCCCCCCCCCCCCCCCCCCCCCCC